GGTAGATGATCTTTCTGATGTGTTGTTGCATTCTACTAGCTAGAATTTTATTGATGATTTTTTTTCATCTATGTTCATCAGGTAAATTGATTTGTAATTCTCTTTCTCTGGTGCCTCTTTTTTAGGTTTAAGGATGAAGGTGATGCTGGCTCTGTAGAAATCATTTGGGAGGATTCCCTCTCTTTCAGTTGTTTTGCATAGCTTGAGAGTACTTGGAGTTAATTCTTTAAATGCCTGGTAGAATTCAGCAGTGAATCCATCTGGTCCTAGGCTTTTCTTTGTTGGGAGGGCCTTTATTACTGTTTCAGTTTCTGTCTTAGATATGGATCTATTTAGGTTTTCTATGTCTTCATGGTTCAATTTAGGTAGGTTGTATGTGTCCAGGAATCTCTATTTCTGCTAGACTTCCCAGTTTTTTGGCATACAGCTGTTTGTAGTAATTTCTGATGACTATTTCTTTGGTGTCTGTTGTTTCTGTTGTTACATTCCCTTTCTCATCTCTGATTTTAATGGTTTGGGTCTTCCCTCTCCTTTTTTTTTTTTTTTTTGGTTAGTTGGTCCAATGGTGTGTCAATTTTGTTTATTCTTCAAAAACCCAGCTCTTTGTTTTGCTGATCTTTGTAATTTTTTTGGATTGAATTTTGTTGATTTCTTCTCTAATTTTAATTGTTTCTTTTCTCCTACTAGGTTTGGGTTTGGTTTGCTGTAGAGTTTCTAGATCCCTGTTATGGATTGGTAGCTCATTTATTTGGTGCCTTTCCAATTTATTGAGCTATAAACTTTCCTCTTAACACTGCTTTTGTGGTATCCCATAAGTTTTGATATGTTGTGTTGTTATCTTCATTTGCTTCCAGAAAGTTTTTGATTTCTCTTTTGATTTCTTCAGTGACCCAGTGTTCATTCAGGAGCATGTTGTTCAGTTTTCATGTGTTTACATATGCTCTAGAGATTCCTGAGTTGCTGATTTCCAGATTCATTCCATTGTGTTCTGAGAAGATGCATGGTATGATTTTGACTTTTTTGAATTTGCTGAGACTTGGGAAGTGAAACAGCTAATGGAAGATTTTTTCCCTATCTTTCTCTCCCTGTCATTCAGCCATGCAAATACATAAATACTTAAAAGGAGAGAAAAACCTCTAGAATTTGGGTAAAGGACAATGTTTCTTCAGGAAATGTTAACATTTTTCTGTATAGCTTGTGATTTGTAGCCTGATCTGTTGATCAATAGGATTACAATTTTCACTAGCTTAGGATATATTTCTCTGATCCTACTCCCAGTGAGGTCTGCAGTTACATATGTGCAATACCACTTGTCCATACCACTTGCTACCATCCCACACATCACTGAATCTCCAGTACTTTCATCTGAGATCCCATATTAATGAGACCCATTCCAATGGAAGATATTTGTATCCTCAGCAAAATGAGAATGAAAAAAATCTTCCTCTGTAGTCATTTTTGGCATTGGATTTAACCTCCCATGCTACATATCTTCAGAATTTGGCAATTGACAATACACAAAAAAGGCATATCTGGTGATGTTTAAGTTACTAATTTTGTCATTCTACCTCTAAAAATTCTGCTGAGTTTTCATATCTTGAATTTGAGCTTGCATAGTTTCTGGATATTGAGTTTCAGTTAGAATAGATTTTCCTAATCTAAGATTATTAATCACACACTGCATGTAATTCTAAAGTTGTTAAATACTCAGTGTGAACTGTGGGTTCTTTTATTTTGTGTATGTTTTCAACAAAACTTGCTGAAAAGTCTATAACCCCTAGCCTCCATGCATTTCTTGCCCCCTTCCATGGACTTAGAGAGATCCATCTATTAAAAGTGAACTGCTGTAACAGATGCTCTACTTGTTAGTGTCTCACAACAATAGGGTTGAAAAGTTAGGGTATAATTAGGTGACAAGTGACTCCCAGACACTGCAGGGCTTCCACATTTAAAGTGTGTTTCAGATCTCCTATTATTTTTCATCCTGCTATAGTGACCTTTACTAGAAATGCTCATCTTTGTGATTGGAGAATATAGAAGCCATTGGACCAAGTAAAGCTCTCCTAGAAGTGACACAATTCATATCTACTGATATTTGCTGAGTGAGAATCTTGTGACCTTGTGTGAATTCTAGACTGGGAGAGGATATGTGATTTTCTCACAGGAAACAATACTGAAGTTGAGTGAGCAGTGGTCACCACACATCAGTTAATCTAATCTCACAAGTATCTTAACTTCATTCCATACCCAGAGAGACAAACTTAAAAAATATCATCTATTCTCAACTTTGCAATCAAATCAAAGTTCTGTGAATGAAACCAGAAATGTATCATGTCCAGATGTGGCTTCTCTTGATTGTTAGACCTGTTTGTCATGAGCAGACAAGGTGACTGCTTTTTTTTTAATTTTTTTTTATTTTTTGACAGGCAGAGTGGACAGTGAGAGAGAGAGACAGAGAGAAAGGTCTTCCTTTGCCATTGGTTCACCTTCCAATGGCCGCCGTGGCCAGCGTGCTGCAGCCGTCGCACCACGCTGATCCGAATCCAGGAGCCAGGTGCTTCTCCTGGTCTCCCATGGGGTGCAGGGCCAAGGACTTGGGCCATCCTCCACTGCACTCCCTGGCCACAGCAGAGAGCTGGCCTGGAAGAGGGGCAACCGGGACAGAATCCAGCGCCCAGACCGGGACTAGAACCTGGTGTGCCGGCGCTGCAAGGTGGAGGATTAGCCTAGTGAGGCACAGCGCCAGCCTGACTGCTTTGTTTTTAATCAGTGTACATGATTTAAAGAGGAGGAGGTTAATTACGACAGCCATTCCTTTTTTATAATTTCATTTTAAAAAATAATTTAGGAATTCTGGAGGATAGCAGCACTGTCTCATGGCAGTATGGCCATACTGGGGATACATGTGGAGAGTGGCCTGTGCTGTGTACTTGAGACAGACTTTGTTGACTCCATTCCATACCTTGGTAGCTCTTCAACCTGTTGTTTTCCAAGGAATCATTGTTTCTTCTCAGAAATAGCTTTCTTTAACCATTATCAATATTATCCACATTACATCATTTTTTTTTTTTTGACAGGCAGAGTGGACAGTGAGAGAGAGAGAGAGAGAAAGGTCTTCTTTTTGCCGTTGGTTCACCCTCCAGTGGCTGGCACGGCCAGCGCAGCAGGTGCGCTGAGGCTGGCACACCACGCTGATTGATTGCAGGAGCCAGGTGCTTATCCTGGTCTCCCTTGTGGGTGCAGGGCCCAAGCACTTGGGCCATCCTCCACTGCACTCCCTGTCCACAGTAGAGAGCTGGCCTGGAAGAGGGGCAACCGGGACAGGATCCGGTGCCCCGACCGGGACTAGAACCCAGTGTGCCAGCACCACAAGGTGGAGGATTAGCCTAGTGAGTCACAGTGCTGGCTCCACATTACATCATTGACCAGGACTGAACAGAGAGAGCATGCTTACTATGGGCTGGGCTGCCTTATTGGCTTCCTTCTTGTTTATAATATAACTTCTTTATCTTCTGGCACTTTTGATATAAATTTGGTTGTTTCTTACAGTATAACCCTTTAGAATGTGTGTGTATGTGTGTATTTGTGTGTGTGAGTATATTTGTTATTCCAGCCAGGTGTCGGCCTTCTGAAACATGACATTTTGTCTGGTTATGTCACTAGTGTTTTAGCATGTTTTTTAGATGTACCTTGTGATCTCCTTCCTGTGATTTTGAACAATTGAAAATTTTATTGAGAACAACTAATTCATTTACATGATTTAGCAATAACTGTCATGGTCATAACCTTAATTTTCAAGTTAACATGTATTTCAGTATGAATGTTTTGGCTTTCCAAATTATTTCTTACTGTATATTTTACTTGTAAGATTAAAAAAGGCAGACTTGTCAACCTTATAATAAAAGCCCAAATGAAAATGCTTTGAGAGTTTTCCCTTCCTATGCATCCTCAAGTTTCTGGTTTCTTCCTCTTCCCTTTATCTCTTTCTTGTATGATTTGGATATTTTTATGAGCTCAGAATTTTCCGGTGGACATATGAAGTAGAGTGAACTGTACCTGATACATGTTACTGATATTCTTTTTTTTTTTTTTTTGACAGGCAGAGTGGACAGTGTGAGAGAGAGACAGAGAGAAAGGTCTTCCTTTTGCCGTTGGTTCACCCTCCAATGGCCGCCGCGGGTGGGCGCGCTGCAGTCAGCGCACTGCGCTGATCCGATGGCAGGAGCCAGGAGCCAGGTGCTTTTCCTGGTCTCCCATGGGGTGCAGGGCCCAAGCACCTGGGCCATCCTCCACTGCACTCCCTGGCCACAGCAGAGAGCTGGCCTGGAAGAGGGGCAACCGGGACAGAATCCGGCGCCCCGACTGGGACTAGAACCCGGTGTGCCGGCGCCTCTAGGCGGAGGATTAGCCTAGTGAGCCGCGGCGCTGGCCACTGATATTCTTTTTCCTGCTTCAAACTCTATGTCCATGATGTAAATATTATTTGACATATGGCTTGGTTACATAATTGTGGTAGTCATTAAGTACACACAAAAATTTATAAAATAATTAATGGAAAAATACATTATAAAAAACTATGCATAAATTTAAAAAAGTTTGCAATAAAATAAATGATCTGATAATACAGAAAAATTTATTTTTTAAGAAATTCCTCGTTCTCCCAATTGATGTTCAACATTTTCTCCTGTAACTCATCTAATGTTAATTCAGTCATATGCTTACATGTATGTCTACAGATTACAGTGTGGGCTCTTTTCAAAATCATTAGGAGAAAGCAGTTCCATAATAATGAACATTCCATTGTACTGATTGTTGAATTATGAAATTAATATAGAAGCAAGACATTTTCATTGTAATTTTGCATTCTGTTGCCATATAGATTCCAAAATCATCCCCTTCTTATATAAGAGGCATAGAAGACACACACAGAGAAATGCACTCCTAGTCTTTTTGTGACAGAACTGGCATGATGAACAAAAAAAAAAAATGTGCTGTTGCAGATGTTGGTGTCATTTGAAGACCTGGCTCTGGACATCACTCAGGAGGAGTGGCAGTACCTGGACAGTTCTCAGAGGAGCCTGTACAAAGATGTGATGATGGAGACCTACAATAGCCTGTTGTTTTTGGGTGAGTGCTATTCCCCTCTCATGCCAAAGTGAAACAGTTACTTCCCATGTGGCAAGCAAATTAATTGTTTAAAAGATTACATGGTGGATAAGCATAGAATTTGAGGCCAAGAAACATGAGGAAAGGATTGAAATCAATAATTTTGTTTCACAGCCCCTGTGAACAAGCTGTTGTCTTTCAAAACTCTAACATAATGATATGATGACACCCAGCATTATTTCCCTTTAACAGGGTACTGCAAAAGCAAACCTGAGGTGATCTTCAAGTTGGAACAGGGGGCAGAGCCATGGACAGTGACAAAACCCCTAAATTGGAGCCTGTCAGGTCAGTCAGCATACATGGGACAGGGAGACTGGGATGGAAAAGATCTCAAGGAATGTTGACTGGGTAGAGCATTTCTCACTATTTATCCCAAGTCTCAGTCCTGAGAACAGCTGATATGATGCATCATCTGCTTGTTGTTTTGCTCTGGGTGAATACTTTGTCAGAACTACCAACAATGCAATCAATTTATTTTTTAAAATTTTATTTATTTATTTGAGAGGTAGAGTTACAGACAGACAGAGGGAGAGATAGAAAGGTCTTCCATTCACTGGTTCACTCCTCAAATGGCTGCAATGGCCAGAGCTGAGCTGATATGAAACCAGGAGCCAGAAATTTCCTCTGGGTCTCCAAGATGGAGAGCACTTGGGCCATCTTCCACAACTTTCCCAGGCCATTAGCAGAGAGCTGATTTGAAGAGGAGCACCTGGAACATGAACTAGTACCCATATGGGTTGTCGATGCTGCAGGCAGAATTTTAGCTTACTGTGCCACAGTGCTAGCCCCATTGCAATCAATTTCTGCCTGTAATGAGACTAATTTTTAGGTTAAATACATCCCCTGTATTCAAACTTGTCCTTCTTCCTACTGTCACATCCTGTTTTTCTTTAGACGTTTATTCTTTTTTTTTTTTTTTTTTTTGACAGGCAGAGTTAGAGAGAGAGCGGGAAACAGAGATAAAGGTCTTCCTTCAATTGTTTCACTCCCCAAATGGCTGCTCCAGCCAGTGTGCTGTGGCTGGTGTGCTGCACTGATCTGAAGCCAGGAGCCAGGTGCTTCCTCCCGGTCTCTGATGTGGGTGCAGGGCCCAAGCACCTGGGCAATCCTCCACTGCCTTCCTGGGCCACAGCAGAGAGCTGGACTGGGAGAGGAGCAACCAGGACAGAATCTGGCACCCCAGACAGGACCTGGCACCTGGGGTGCCGGTGCCACAGGTGGAGGATTAGCCAAGTGAGCCATGGCACTGTCCTGTTCATGTATTTATTCTATCAATGCTTATAAAAATTGGATCACACAGAGGAACTGATTTCTTATAAGTTGCAGAAATTTAGTTCCCACTCATGGTTTTGACCAGGCACAGGCCTTACTGTTGCACAAATTTGAGTACTGAATTAGTGAATGTGAGCTTTCTCATTGTCTCTTTCCTCTCCCTTTTTCTGTCTTTTTTTTTTTTAAGATGTATTGATTTGAAAGTCAGTTACATGGAGAAAGAAGGAAAGGCAGAGAGAGAGAGGTCTTCCAAGTGCTGGTTCATTCCCCAATTGGCTGCAGCTGCCTCCAATCTGAAGCCAGAAGCCAGTAGATTCCTCTGGGACTCCCACATGGGTGCAGGGCCCAAGTACTTCTACTGTACATCTTCTATTGCTTTCCCAGTCAGAAGTGGAGCAGCTGGGACTTGAACTGGTACCCACATGGGATGCCAACACTGCAGGCAGTGGCTTTACCTGCTATGCCATAGTGGTATCCCCTCTCTCCTTTTTTTCTGTCTCTGATTCTCAAATAAATGAGTAACAAAATGAATGGCCATTACAAGCAATTCAAAAGTGATTGAGTGAATGGGCTTTGTTTCTCTTTCTGCCCCTATCCCTGTAATTCAAATAAATAAATCATGAAGAAAATGGGATGCCAGTGTTGTTAAGAAGCAGGTTAACCTGCTATAATACTTTTCCTGCTCCTTTTATAATATAATAACTTAGAAATGCATAAGAGAGTCAGTTTTCTGTAAAAATGGGATAATTTTGAGCATCTAGCACAAGCATTGAAAGACATAACTTCAAATTTTAGAGCAAGAGTGTATACCAAGAACTCAAAGAATACCAAGTATGCTGGTTTCATAATGAGATTGAAATACTTCTCAAAGAAGGTGAACATAATCCTAATGGCAGAACATATTTCCTTAAATTGATTGGAAAGCATACAAAAAATGATGTGTGGAACATTTATGGGCCTTCTGTGGTACTGAGAATCTGAAGATACTAGGTTTTCTTAGGGATCTGTGGAAACCTGTCATCATAATGTGCATATAAAAGATTTGGGAAGGGCTGAGATTGTGACAGTATGTTGAACCACTTCCTGTAATGACAGCATTTCATATGGGCACCAATTTGAGTCCTGGCTGCCCCACTTGTGATGCAGCTCCCTGGTACTGTGCCTGGGAAAGCAGCAGATGTTTCTTTGCACATATCTGGGAGACTCATTTGGAGTTCTGTGCTCCTGTTTTTACCCTGGTGCAGCCCTGACCATTGCAGCCATTTGGGGAGTGAATAGGTGGATGAACACTCTCTCTCTCCATCTCTCTTTGTAACTCTGTCTTTAAAATAAATAAATATTTTTAAAAAGTTTTTATTTATTTGAAAGAGAGAGAGAGAGAGGTAGAGACAGAGACAGAGAGAGAGGTAGAGACAGAGAGAGAGAGGTCTTTCATCTGCCAGTTCACTCCTAACTGACTGCAATGCATGGAGCTGAATCAATATGAAGCCAAGAGTCCAGAGTTTCTTCTGGGTCTCCTATGCAGGTACAGGGACCAAGTGACTTGGGCCATCCTCTGCTGCTTTCTCAGGCACATTAGCAGGTAGCTGAATCTGAAGTGGAGCAGCTGAGATTTGGCACCCATATGGGATGCTGGTGCCACAGGGCAAGGCTTTAACCCGCTGCACTACAGCACCAGCCTCTAAAATAAACAAATCTTGAAAACATTTAAAGGAGGTGTTTTTGCTTAAGAAACCCCACAGATCTCTATAGCCATTCCCCTGGAAAAACTGAACATGCAGCAACCAAAAAATGGATGCTGTTTCTAAGTTATGGTCCTGCCTAGTGGTTACACACATGTCCTCTTCTGGTACCTATAAGTAAGTGATCCAATGAAGTTTTCCCATCTTCAAAGCTGAATGATTAAGGAAGCAAGAAACCTCACTTTTATAAGAAATGATGATGGCTGCTGGGAAGTTTGCAGCTTATTACTCAAATAAGATAGTTGGTAAGTATTTTTACTAAGTGTTTCTCAACTTTTATAAATATTTACTTAGTTATGAAAATGTTTATTAGGTTCTCCTTGCAAGACAGAATGAAAGTAACAGAGAAATAGAGAATGAGAGAAAAGTCCTCCATCTACTGGTTCATTGCCCAAATGCCTGCAACAGTAAGAATGAGGCCAACCTGAAACCAAAAGCCAATAAATCTGTTTGGGTCTTTTAAGTGTGTGGCAGGCTCCAACACACTTAGAATCATCATTGGTTGCCTGCCAGGACATATTAGCAGGAATCTGTATTGGAAGCACAGTAGCCAGGACTCATCTGGTACTAATGTGGGATGCATGTATCCTCAGAAATGGTTTGACCCACTGCCAGACATCACTTGCCCCCTCTCTCCACTTAAAACATTTAACATAAATGTATGAATTTGGGAAATCTTCCTTTGTTTTATTACCTTAGTGTATTATGAAGAAAAAGTTATATAGGGCAACACTGAATACCTTTTGCTGACCTATTCAAATGCTATTCCACTAAGAAATTGCATTGCTTTTACTTGAACATTCTACAAGTAACATTTAGATATGATTCATGGATATAGTATTTTTTTTCTCATTTCAGCCCACAGAAGGGATGACCTATTGGGAACCAACTGGAAAAGTCAACAAATAAATTTGAGGCAAGTTGTAATCACAAACAACAACTTATCAACACACAAGAGAGTTAAATTAAAAAGCAACACTTAGCCGGTGCCGCGGCTCAACAGGCTAATCCTCCACCTAGCGGCGCCGGCACACTGGGTTCTAGTCCCAGTCAGGGCGCCGGATTCTGTCCTGGTTGCCCCTCTTCCAGGCCAGCTCTGCTATGGCCGGGGTGTGCAGTGGAGGATGGCCCAAGTGCTTGGGCCCTGCACCCCATGGGAGACCAGGAGAAGCACCTGGCTCCTGCCTTCAGATCAGTGTGGTGCGCCAGCCATGGCGGCCATTGGAGGGTGAACCAATGGCAAAGGAAGACCTTTCTCTCTGTCTCTCTCTGACTGTCCACTCTGCCTGTAAAAAAAAAAAAAGCAACACTTAATTTAAGCTCAGGCCATATTTTTACTGAAAGCTGAGACATATAATTTATTTCACAATTTGCTTCTCCCTAGGAGGCCTGATGAGATGCGAGCTGCAGAGAAATCTGATGACACTAATGTACCTGGCAACTCAAGTGAACGTTGGGAGCCCATCAGGCAGCCTCACAAGATTCAGCCTTTTCAGCAGGTGTTTGAACACAGTGTAAAAGGCAAAGGGTTCAACAGGAAAAGGGTGTTCTTTACAAATGAAAGGGCTCATATGGGAGACACCTGTAATAAAAGTCAGTTGGCATTGTAGGAAAGACAACTGAACATGTAAAGAACTTTCCAGAAAAAGTCCTACCTCAGTAAACCTCAACAAACACACACAGGAAAGAAACTTTATGAATCTTTTGAGTATGAGGAAACTCTCATTTACAAATCAGATTTTATCACAAGTCAAAGAACACATACAGGAAGAAAAACCTATTCTTGTAACCCTTGTGGAAAATCTTTCAATTGTAAATCCTGCCTTTCTATCCATCATAGAACTCAGAAAGGGGAAAGGCCCTCTGGGTGCAATGAATGTGGGAAAACCATTTACCTGAGCTCAGATACTACAAATCATATGACTCACACAAGATACAAATCTTTCACATGTAAAACATGTGGCAAAGCATTTTATTGGAAGTCACAACTCATTCTACATCAGAGAATTCACACAGGAGAGAAACCTTATCAATGTAATACATGCGGAAAAGGCTTTCATTGGAAAACAATCCTTATTTCACATCAAAGAATTCACACAAAGGAGAAATCTTACAAATGTGATATAGGCAGAAAAGCCTTTTCCTGGAAGTCAAATCTCACTGTACATCAGAGAATTCACATAGGGCAGAAACCTTATGAATGTAATAAATGTGGAAAAGCCTTTATCCAAAAGTCAAATCTAACTTCACATCAGAAGATTCACATAAATGAGAAACCTTATGGATGTGAAATGTGTGAAAAAACCTTTCGCTGGAAGTCAAACCTCACTTCACATCAGAGAAAATTCACACAGGGGATAAACCTTTTGAATGTAATACATGTGGAAAAGCCTTTTGCCAAAAATCATAACTCATTGCACACCAGATGATCCTCAAAAAGGAAGAAAACTTAAGAATGTAGTACCTATGGAAAATCCTTTTTCCAGAAGTCACAACTCACTCTACATAAGACGGAGAAGATTTATAAATGCAAAATGTGTGGAAAATCCGTTTGTTGGAAATCACAACTCTTTACCCATCAGAGAATGCATAGATCAGAGAAAATTTATGCATGCAATACATGTGGAAAAGTCTTTTGTAATAACTCACAACTCATTACACATCAGAGAGTTCACACAGGGGAGAAACCTTATCAATGTGATGAATGTGGAAAAACATTTTCCCAGAATTCAAACTTCAGAAGGCATCAGAGAACTCACATGTAAGAGATAACTTGTCAATGCTATGTATAAGAAAAGTCTTTTTGCCAGAAGCTGCAACTCAACAGACAGCAGAACTTACAAAAAGGAAAAACACCTTTTAATGAAGTGATTATGAAAATTCCTGATGCCAGAAGTCAGTGTTAAGCACACATCAAAGAACTCACAGGTGAGAAAGCATGTGAATATAGGAAAACTTTCTACCATAAGCCAGATCTCACTATCAGGGATCTTAGAGGAAGAACTCTACAAAGGCAGTGGAAGTGGACAAAGCTTTTACTCTGAGGCAGATTTCAACAAGCATCAGCAAAATTATCCACAAAATTATTAGTACATAAAATAAGTGCTAGCAAAATTACTCAATATTATTCTGCAAAACAGTAATGAAGGTGGAAAAATACCTGTTTAACATCACATCTCTGCAGGTATTAGGGAGTTCACATGAGGGTGTAACACTGCACTGCAGAGGCTGGATATGCAGTCTTTGAAATCTACATTAGTCTCTGTGCCATATAATCTGCTGTTTTTCCTGCACTTATTATGAGTAGGGGATGATATCCACATGTAATTTTTTATAAGTAAATACTCATTCTATACTACTCAGTTTGAAATACAATCCTAACATTTGCAAAGTATTTGGTACAACTGTTTCACTGCCTGCCCATGAGTCTTCCTCCATTTATTCTAGTACAGATCAGTAATGTGACCACAGTTGTGTTACCTCACATGCCAACCATAATGCTGTACTATTAGAGTTGAATGTTGGTTTTTTTTTCTCCTAGGTAGGATTTGTCTTGTGACTTTTTCAGTCATGTGAATCCCAGATTTGTGTGTAGACTGTCTCATTTGTCCATATTACCAATCTATTTATAGATTGAAGAGGATTCATAAGTATTGCTTTGGTGGCCTAATGTCCAAACTATCTTCCTGGGATTGTTTCTGGGCCAATGTTTAATTTTTTTTTCCATTAAAAGACAATGACAGAGCAAAACATGTACACAGAGTTCTTATATTCACTGCTTCACTACCACAGATGGCTGAAACAGCCATGTCTAGGTGAGACCAAAGCCAGGAGGCATAAATTCCATTTAGCCTCCCACATGGGTGCCAGGGCCCCAAACATATGGATCATTAAGTACTACCTTCATAGGAGTATTAGCAATATAGTGACTGAGAAAAAAAGTAGCCAGGACTCCCAGCTAACACTTAAATATAAAATGTCAGCATTGCTCACAGCAGCTTAACCTGTTGTTCCACAGTGATGGCCATAGTTCTTTTTATTTTTGGCCTTGTTTGTTCTGTAGCTCTCTATTGTGGTTATGCCTGTTTGGAGTCATTTACCAATGTTCTGACTTCTGTTTTATTTCATTTTACTATCTGATGATATAGGCAGCTAGCTAGTGAGCTCTAGGAATAGAAGACTGCCAGCAGCATGTGTATTGCAGTCACACACTGTCCAAAACCCAGACCTTCCATACAGCCTACAGGGTTTCAGCTAGAATTATTTTACATGGCTCCAGGCTCATCACACACACTCCCCATCAAGAACCTGAGCCTTAATTCATTATGTTCTGGATTCATATTTCTTAGAATAAAGCATATGTATTCCAGTTACCAATGCACTATAAACCTGTCCTGCTTTCCCCCCCGAAAGAAACCTTTCATTTAACTATAACAGACTTCATGCATTTCTTAAGTACAACACTCTTGCACCCATACTCCAGTCCCTTCTCACCCGCTGTCTCCCATGCACAGTCCCATTCTCCAAGATTCATTTTCAATTACTTAATAAACAGAAGACCAACTCTAAAGATTTCAACAACTTGCACACACATGAAATTGAGAACAAGTTTAACTCTTATAATACAACTCATTGAGGATAGAAGTTCTGCATAGGAAGTTAGTGCACAGTGATTCCTGTTGTTAATTTAACAATTAACATTGCCTGGGGCTCTTGACATAAACTGCCTGGGCTATGGAAGGCTTTTGAACCCTCAAACACCATCAATATTTAGAAAAGGCCACACACAAAGCAGAAGTTCTTGCTTCAGAGAAAAGTACATCCTTCTTTGGTGACTTCTTTCCACAGGGGTTTCACCCACAGATATCCTTTATATAGGACATTTTTGGCCATGATGTTATAGTGTTCCATGCCTGAAATACTCTCGTGGGCATTTCAGCCAGACCAGAATGACTGAAGGGCTGATTCTGAGGTCAAGTGTGCTATTTGAAGTGATTATCATTCTATGAGTTTGCTGTGTGGATTGTTTCCCATGTTGGACCCTATATTGGGGTCCAATGCAAGTTTATAAACTGTACTGTTAGCAAGAAGTCCATAGGAATGTATGCAAAACTATACATCTTTACAGTTATAAATTTCCTCCTCCCTTATTCCCACTCTTATTTTTTTACTGAGTTCTATTTTTTTTTTTTTTTTGGACAGGCAAAATGGACAGTGAGAGAGAGAGGCAGAGAGAAAGGTCTTCCTTTTTTCCATTGTTTCACCCTCCAATAGCCACTGCAGCCAGCACACCATGCTGATCCAAAGCCAGGAGCCAGGTGCTTCTCCTGGTCTCCCATGGGGGTGCAGGGCCCAAGCACTTGGGCCATCCTCCACTGCACTCCCAGGCCACAGCAGAGAGCTAGACTGTAAAAGGAGCAACTGAGACAGAATCCAGCACCCCAACTGGGACTAGAACCTGGTGTGCCGGCGCTGCAGGCAGAGGATTAGCCTATTGAGCCATGGCGCTGGCTGAGTTCTATTTTTAATTGACTTTATACATGTATGATTAGCTCTGTTAAGTAAAGAGTTCAACAAATAGAATGAAAAAAGTTCCTTCATAGTCAAGATAAAGGCTGTTCTCATTGCTTCTCAAAGTGTCAATTTCACTTCTACGGATCTCCTATTAGGTGCTCTATTAGTTATTGCAGTTCAGGGATTTCATTTTTTTTTACTGCTGTAGAATTCCATAGTGTACATACCCCATAATTTCTTTATCCAGTCTTCGGTTGATGGGCTTTTAGGTTGGTTCCATGTCTTAGCTATTGTGAAAAGAGCTGCAATAAACATGGGGGTAGAGATACTCTTATTTGCTGATTTCATTTCCCATTTGTAAATTCCCAGGAGTGGGAGGGCTGGGTCATATGGTAGGTCTATGTTCAGATTTTTGTGATGCCTGATGGCTTGTGTGTTTTGTTGTTGTTGTTGTTTTTGTATACAGTTGCTTTAGCTATTCGGGGTCTGTTGTGTTTCCATATGAATTTCAGCATCATTTTTTTTAACTCTTGCAACTTATTGTTTTTAAGATTTAGTAATTTGAAAGAGAGAGAAGGAGAAACAGATCCTCCATCTGCTGGTTCACTCCCCAGATTATCACAATTGATCAGGCTGGGGCCATGAGCCTCTTCTAGGTCTAAGAGGTGAGTTTAGGGGTCCAGAGGCTTGTTCCATCTTCCACTGATTTCCCAGGTACCTCACAGGGAACTGGATTTTAAGAGGACCAGCTAAGACCTGAACTGGAGCCCATATGGGATGTCAGCACTGTAGGCCTTTGTTTATCCCAATGCAACACAGAGCTGTTCCAACCTTGGTGTTTTTAATTCTAATTTCTACCTCAGTTTTTTTTTTATTCTGACTGACTGCATTACCTACACTCCTTTGAGATTTTTTTCTGCGTGTTCAGCAGAAGCCACATCATTACCACCTGCCTTGTTTATATTGTCAGATTTTTTGGTTCTACAACAATACTATGTTGACTGCTAAATACCTGTAGAGGTAAGGCAAATGACAAACTGCCAGCAACTGTGACCAAATAGTGAAATAATGATGTAGATAATGATAGGGCATGTGTGTGCCAGATGAAGTAATGAGGAATTTGTCAGGGAAAAATGGATATGAGCCCTGACTCCTGCTATATGCCTGCATGTCCTGCCCCACCTGCAGTGCCAGACATCTTGATCCTAAAGCATGCTTGCACATCAGGGAGCACATGTACTTTGCATCCCTGGAGGTGCATTAGCAGGTGCCTTGAATCTTCTAATTTGTTGGTATAATGCTGAACATTGTCACTTGAACTCCTTGCATCCCAATTCCTCCTCAACATGTACAAACTCTAAGGCACTTTGGCATCTTGCCTCTTGCTTGAGAAAGCAGGCATTGAAAGACATGCTGGCTTCTGGGCCCACATCTTTGAAAGGAACTATGAGGCATGCTGCTCCTGGGTGCACAGGCAGAGAACTCTACCTCCCATTGAGATCACCAGATTTGCCTTAGCTTGCATCAAGTATTTCTGCCACCATGTTGGCTCTGAAAGCCCCTGCCTCATTCCTACCCAGGTTGCCTGGGGTAACAAAGACTAAGCAATAAGCACATGAAGTCCCCTTTGGGAACTCCTGGCTTCCAACATATTTGAAAACCATGAGCTACAACTGTCCACTGCCTCATCCTGAAGACAGAGACAGCCCTAAGGCAGGAGACTTCAGTTTGGTATGAAAGTCCTGGGATATAGTATTTGCTAGTGTAGAGGCTTTGAGACAGCTCCACATTGCCTTTATGCCTGATAGTCACCCAAGTTTTCCCTCCATTGGGATGAATTGTCCCTGGAAACAAGATTGTGCCTCAAGACATTGAGGTCTAAGAGTGAGTACCAGCTGACTGTGAGCACAATGCACAAGCTGCAAAGCAGTTTCTACTGGAGCACCAATAATGAAGCAAGCCTGTTCAGTGTGAAGCCTATTTTCCTCTTCCTATGTGATGGCATGATTAACATGTTGTGCTTGGGATCAAGACCCTGTCAGGCACCAAGAATCTGAGCATTGAATGTAAGGGCAACAATTTTGATCTGCAATGCAATCCCAGGGTCATGTAGACCATGCTGCATTTAAACTTATGCTGAAGTTGGTGCATCACTACATAGTGTCCCCCACCCCAAGCACTAGTCTTTCTGTGAGCCCTGGGCTGACCCTCTGAAGGGATGCTTGGGCAGCAGCCTACCAAGATACTCCTTGCATCACACCCCAGAGCACCTATTAGATCTAATTTGGTGGTGAGTAGATTCCCTCTTTTCTCAAAATCTCAGCCCCCTTGGACAGCACCCTGCTGTTTGGTTGTCTTTACCTCCTAGGAAGGGGACAAAGTGGGCCATGTGGGTTGGGGAGGAACTGCCTGGGTGGACCCAGATGCCCAGATGCTATATACCCAGCCTCTGGAACCAGAAGGATGGAACCAGGTGTCCAGAAGTTACCAACCCAGTTTCTGGCTCTATCCACCTCTTTAGAATGGCTTGGACTTACTTATGGTACCTATAGGGTCTCCCTATATTCTCTCTCTCTTTTCTTTCCTTCTTGTTCTCATTTGATGTTCTTGCCTAATCATTGTCTGATTGGTAAGCTTTTCTGTCCTTTACTAAAAACATTTTTTTTTCTGTGCTTAAATGTTTTATCTTCCAGACTTTAGAGTTTTCCTGAGATTTCTAGAGTTTGTAGCAGCACTTTGTAAAGTATAATTATGTAACAAAGACAAGAATATTTTTGTTTCATGCTTAATTCCTCTAATGTTCAAAAAATTAAAGTAACTCTAGGTTAAAATTCTATGTGTTCTTAATTTTTTATGTAAATTCAAGATCCTGTAGGTAGGGGAAAAAGAAACATGAAGCTTTAGTCATGGGAATGTCTTGGTAAATAAAGCTATGGGGTATGAAAGAAGCCAATTCAGGGGAAATTCAAGTAATACTCATCCTAAATTGAAAACGCTTGTGGTCTTTAAGAAGAAATAAGTGAGGTAATGCAAGAATGTTTTAGAAGTTTGGTGGAAGATGAATCTTGTGTAGGATTTGGTTGGCTGACACTAGAAAAATTCTTTATATGTATTTTTTTGACAGGCAGTTAGAGAGAGACAGACAGAGAGAAGGGTCTTCCTTCTGTTGGTTCACTCCCCAAATGGCCACTACAGCTGGTGTGCTGCAGCTGGCATGCTGCAGTGATCCAAAAGCAGGAGCCAGGTGCTTCTTCCTGGTCTCCCATGTGGATACAGGGCCCAAGCACTTGGGCCATCCTACACTGCCTTCCCAGGCCACAGCATTGGAAGCGGAGCAACCAGGACAGAATCCGGTGCCCCAATCGGGACTAGAACCTGGGGTGCCGGTGCTGCAGGTGGAACACAGTGCTGGCCTCTTTATATGTATTTCTAAACATCAGTGATGCAGTAACATTAAAGGCACACTGTTATAAGACTAGAATTTAATCTTATAAATTAAAGCAAAAAGGTTTTGTATTAAACATTGCTCACACAATTTTCATCTTTTTAATTTCAAAATCTAATGTCAATCCATCTTCTAGGCTATAGTGTTTTTTTGTCTTGTATTTAATTTGTGGCTATTCCCTTCCATTTTTACTCAGCTCCTGTCTGATTGTCTACCCCTCACTTTGTCTTTATGTATTTAAGTTGTCTGAAGTAATGGGTTAATGCCACGTGGTAATTTTGTTAAATTTTAATGTGTTAATTATTTTATTCATTTTTCTAAGTTTTTGTTCTGATTTAAGAAACTTAGTTTTGTAATCATTTTATGTGTCATTGGGAAGGAAATATATGCATTTTCTTTTGTATATTGAGATGTGATTGCTTAGGTAGAGCTGAGCTGTAAAAGAGTCAAGGTTATTTACTTTTTTCACACATTTGGTCACCTTACAATTAACTAAACTTAGTCAATAATTCTAGTTAAAACCCTGAATAAATGAATTTTTTTCAGTGATGTAGTATCTTGATGATATTTTAAACTTCTGACAACATGAATTGGTCTTTTTATTTTATTATTTTTTTTAAGATTCAAAGTTCTAAATGAAATCTTTGAATTTTAAAATATCCATTTAGATTTTTAGAGCCTTCCAAGATCCAATCCCCCACTTGAATGGTTACTGAAGTAAAACCATCCTACTACCCTGGCTACAGAACTTGAAGCAGATAAATCAACCTGGCTCTATTTCATTTTTCTACTCTTCATTTATATCCTCAGATTTAAGATGCACTAGACTGTGCACACTATGTTGAATTAAAAATTTTAGTCGTACTTCTGTAGGGATAATTAGAATATAAAGGCACCAAAATATGACAACTTGTCATTAGATTATTTTTCATAATCAGAAGATTTGCAGTACATCAATTCACCTTTTTAAAAAAAATCAGCTTTAAGGGGGTTTTGGCTGTGGTGTAGTTCACTAAGCTGCCATCTGCAGTGCCAGCACCCCAATTGGGTCCTGTTCAAGACCCTTCTGCTCCTCTTCCAATCATTCTCCCTGATAATGTTCCTGGGAAGGCAACAGATGATAACCCAAGTGCTTCAGGCTCTGCACCCACATGGGAGACCCAGATGAGGCTGCTGGCTCCTGGCTTCAGCCTGGCACAGTCTTGGACTTTGAGGTCAGTTGGGGAATGGGCCAGTGCATATAAAATCTCTCCTTTCTTTCTATACCCCCCTCTCTACTGTGACTCTGACTTTCAAATAAATATTTTAAAATAATCAGCTTCAGGGGTCAGCATTGTGATGTACTGTGTTTAACCACCACCCAAGATACCAGCATACTTTATGGGCACTGGTTCATATCCTGGCTGCTTCTCTTCTGATGCAGATCCCAGCCTAGGAAAGTAGTGACAGATTGTCCAAGTCCTTGGCCCCTTAACACCCATATAGGAGACCCAGAAGAAACTCCTGGCTCCTGGCTTTGGCCTGCCCATCCTTGGCCAGTGAAGCCCTTTGGAGATTGGATCAGTGGATGGAAGATTTTCATCACTCTCCACCTCTCTGTTTCTTTCTTTCTCTCATTCTCTAACTCTACCTTTCAAGTAAATAAATAAATCTTTAAAATCCAATAAAACAAAATGAATTAATAAAGGAAACTATCTGGTTCTGGACTTTTCTTCGATGCTGGACTCTATTACTAATTTAATCTTGCTGGTTGTTTCTTATCCATTTAGGGATTCTATTGTTTCATGGTTCACTTCTGTTAAAGTGTGTGTGTCCAGGAATTTGACCACTTCTGAGTTATCAAACATTTTGGCATATGATTGAATCTAATAATCATTAGTGACCCTTTGTATCTCTGATAACTGTGTTATCTGTTGTAGTGTTTCCATTTTATATTTATTTTCAATTACCTGAGACTTCTCTTTTTGTCTTAGTTAATTTAGCTGAGGGTTTGTCAATGTGTTTATGTTTTCAAAGAGCCAGGACTTTATTTCACATCTTTAGTTTTTGTTTTATCTATTTATGCTCTGGGTTTTATTATAAGTTATCCCTAATTTAGGTTTGGTGTACTCTTGCTTTTCTAGTTTTTTACATGCAGTACTATGTTGTAAACTTGCAATTTTCCTGCTTTTAAAATGGCTACAATGTCTGTAACTGTGCCAGGATGAAGCCAGGAATCAGAAACTTCATCTGGAACTCCCACATGGGTACAGTGGCCCAGACATATGAGCTGGGAGCAGTATTGGAAGTGGATCAGCCAGGACTTGAACTGATGGCCAATATGAGATGCCAGCACTGAAGACAGTGGCTTTACCCTCTAGGCCATAGTGCCTGCCCTTTTATAAATTCTATGAAACATGTAAAAACAATTAACATCAATACTTCTTAAACTATTCAAAAATAGGAGAGAAATAATTCTTCAAAATGCATTCTATAAGGTCAGCATTACCTTTAAACCAAAACCAAAGATACAACATAAACTCATATTATAAACTAATATCCTTGGTAAGTACAGATGGGAAAATTTACAAAAATACTAATACAATAAAAGGATTACATACTACAGTCAGAAGAGATTTACCCCAAGGATACTAGTGTGTTTTTACATACACAAATCACTACACATGACATGCTATAACAAGCAAAGTGCAAAAATCGTATGTCATTCTCAATAGATGTAGAAAAGGCAGTTGATAAAAATTAAGAGTCTTTCATAATAGGAACTCTGAACAAATCAGGTACACAAAGAATACACAATAACATAACAAAGGACATATACAACAAGCCAACAGCTGACACCATATTGAATGTGGAGAGGCTGAAGAATTCTTTTCCAAGATCTGGAATAACACAAATGATCACTTTAAGCATTTCTTTTTTTTTTTTACAGGCAGAGTAGACAGTGAGAAAGAGAGAGAGAGACAGAGAGGAAGGTCTTCCTTTTGCCGTTGGTTCACCCTCCAATGGCCGCCGCTGCCAGCATGCTGCAACCAGTGCACCACGCTTATCCAATGGCAGGAGCCAGGTACTTATCCTGGTCTCCCATGGGGTGCAGGGCCCAAGCACTTGGGCCATCCTCCACTGCACTCCCTGGCCACAGCAGAGAGCTGGCCTGGAAGAGGGGCAACCAGGACAGAATCTGGTGCCCCAACCAGGACTAGAACCCGGTGGGCTGGCACCACAAGGCGGAGGATTAGCCTAGTGAGCTGCGGCACCTGCCAAGCATTTCTATTTAACATAGTATGAAAAATCATGTAGCAATTAGGTAAGAGAAAGAAATAGACATTCAAATTGGAACAAAGAAAGTGAAATTGTCACTGGTGGGAGATGACATGAGCACATACATAGAAAACATCACATACTCTAACAAAGATCTGTTAGAATTAATAAAACAAATTTGCAAGATAAAATGTCAAAATATAAAAATCAGTAGCAGTGATTTATACTAATAGCAAGTTATCTGAAAAATTTTAAAACTATTCTTACTCCTAATTCTTATTTTCAATGACAATAAAAAATAACAAACCTCGAGCCTCGGTTTCAGTAAATACATAGAAAATTATCATCAGTGAGACCTTAGACATCACTGATGATAGTGATTGAAATGGCACAAACGGAATGGAGACATCTACGTCCATAGATTGGAAGTATAGATATCAGTAACAGATCATGTTCATCATGGCCGCGTAATGATTTATGTAATTGCTATCATAATCCCAATGGCATTGTCATAGAACTAGAAAAAAATATTAAAATTAATTTAAACACATGAAAGAGCCCCAAATGGCCAAAAATATGTTGAATAAAAGAATACAACAGGAGGCCGGCACCGCGGCTCACTAGGCTAATCCTCCGCCTAGCGGCGCTGGCACACCGGGTTCTAGTCCCGGTTGGGGCACCGGATTCTGTCCCGGTTGCCCCTCTTCCAGGCCAGCTCTCTGCTGTGGCCAGGGAGTGCAGTGGAGGATGGCCCAGGTGCTTGGGCCCTGCACCCCATGGGAGACCAGGAAAAGCACCTGGCTCCTGGCTCCTGCCATCGGATCAGCGTGGTGCGCCGGCCGCAGCGCGCCGGCCGCAGCAGCCATTGGAGGGTGAACCAACGGCAAAAGGAAGACCTTTCTCTCTGTCTCTCTCTCACTGTCCACTCTGCCTGTCAAAAAAAAAAAAAAAGAATACAACAGGATATATTTATATTATCCAAATTTAAAATATTTTTCAAAGCAAAGTAACAATGAGGTTTCCTCTCACTCCAGTTAAAATGGCTCTCATGTGGATATCAACAAACAACAAATACTAGTGAGGATGTGGGGAAAAGGTACCCTAATCCAATCTTATGGGATGTGAACTGCTCTAGCCACTGTGAAAGACAGTATGGAGATACCTCAGAAATCCAAATATAGACCTACCAGATGTCCATCAGTTTTTTTTTTTGTTTGTTTGTTTGTTTTTTTTTTTTTACAGGCAGAGTGGACAGTGAGAGAGAGAGAGAGACAGAGAGAAAGGTCTTCCTTTGCAGTGGTTCACACTCCAATGGCCGCTGCGGCTGGTGCGCTGCGGCCAGTGCACTGTGCTGATCCAATGGCAGGAGCCAGGTACTTATTCTGATCTACCATGGGGTGCAGGGCCCAAGCACTTGGGCCATCCTCCACTGCACTCCCGGGCCATAGCAGAGAGCTGGCCTGGAAGAGGGGCAACTGGGACAGAACCCAGCACCCCAACAAGGACTAGAACCCGGTGTGCCAGCACCGCAAGGTGGAGGATTAGCCTAGTGAGCCACGGCATCAGCCTCCATCAGTTTTTGACTAGAGAAAGAAACTATGCCATATATACACTATGCAGTATCCTGTATTTTGCAACAAGATGGGCACTATCAGAAACCATTTTACTAAGTGAAATAAGCCAGTCCATAAAGGACCGATATCATATGTTTTCCTTGATCTGAGGTAACTAATAGAATACCTGAAATGCAATGTAGTGAAATAGACATTTTGAGATTTGATGATTTTACAGCTCCTGTCTCTCCCATTAAGGAACAGTGTTTTTTGTTTTTCCTCTTCATACTATTTGTTGAATTCTTTTGTTTAGTGTAGGGTTAACTATATGATCTTTAAGTAAATTGAACATAGATCTTGGTAAAAATTAGGAGTGGGAATGTAAGAAGAAAGAGGAAGAAGGTTTGGAGTTTTGGCAGGAAATAGGGTGGGGATGAGTATCACTATGTTCCTAAATCTGTATATAGGAAATACATGATATTTGTATAACAAATAAAATTTAAAAAATAGAGACTTATTTCCATTGGGCATGTGTGTGTATATATATAGAGGATATATATATATATATATATATATGGGATATATATATGCCCAATGGAAATAAGTGTATATATGTGTATATGTATATGTGTGTATATATATACAAGTGTGTATATATGTGTGAGTATATATAGGGGATATATATATATATATATACATGCCCAATGGAAATAATGGATATATATCCCATATATTTATATATGTGTGTATATATATATATATATATATCTCCAATAGTGGCATTGCTGGAACATGTAGTAGTTCTTTCAGATTTTTTAGGAATATTAATTCCTTTTTTGGGGATGTACTTAATTACATTGCCACCAAAGTACACGAAGATGCCCCTTTGTCCTCATCCTCTCCATCAGTCATTGTCTTTGTCTTTTGGGTAAAAGGCAATATACTTAGAATAAAATAATAGCTTATTGTAGCTTTCGATTAGTTATAGTGAGCCTTTATTCATTACCCTGTTTTTCATTTCTATATCTTCCTTTGAGAGATCTGTGTTTAAATGTGTTGTTCATTTATAAATTGTATTTTTTTTGCTATCAAACTGAGTTTCTCATATGTATTGATCATTAGCACCTTTTCAGATATATTGATTATAAATATTTTCTCCCATTTTTTAAAATTTATCTTTTTTAGAAATTGTTGCTTCATTTCTTAAAATGTTATTTAAGTTATAAAATTTTCATGTATTTGATACATAAAGATTTAGGAACATAGTAATACACCCACCCTACCCTCCTTCCTGCCCATGCTCCAACAATTTTTTCTCTTCATTCTCCCATTCCCACTCTATTTTTTTATAAAGATCTATTTTCCATTTACTGAATGATCATAAAGTTAACCCTACATTAAGTGAAAGAGTTCAGCAAATTGTATGAAGAAAATGTTGCTGTCCCTCAACAGAAGAGACAAGGCTGTAAATAATCATCAAATCTCAAAATGTCCATTTCATATAATACATTATATTTTAGATACACTATTAACACTGATCAGGGAAAATATATGATATCTGTCATTTTGTTTCTGAATTATTTCACTTAAAAATAGTTTCCAGTTGTGCCCATCTAGTTGCAAAAGTGGAAAGCCACATCATATGGTAGGTCTATATTCAGATTTCTGAGATATCTCCATACTGTCTTCCACAGTAGTTACACCAGTTTACATTCCCATCAACAGAGGACAAAATAAGACTTTTGAAGATATATTTGCTTTCCCATGTGTATTACAGAACAATTTTCAGCAATTAAGGAATGGAGACAACCTAAGTGTCCATTCACTGATGAATGAATAAGGAAAATATGATACATATAACCAGTGGAATACTATTATGCCATTAAATGATTTAAATCTTTTCATATGTAAGAAGATTGGAGGTACAAGTAATTATTTTAAGTGAAATAAGCCAAGCACAGAAAGACAAGCATTGCACGATTTCACTCATGTGAAATCTAAATGGTTGATCTAATGTAAATTAGGTATATAATGGTGGTTACCAGAGTCTGGGGAGTGTAGGGGGGGAGTGAAGGATGGAGAAAAAATGATAAACTGATACTAAGCTAGATAGGAGAAAGAATTTCTGGTATTCTATTGTATAGTCTATTGACTATAGATAATGACAATTCTAAAACAAACAGGGTGAAGGGCTTTTCAATATTTTCTCCATAAAGAAATGATGTTTGAGGAGGTAGATATGTTAGCCCTGATTATACATTAAATTATAAATATATACAAATGTCAAGTCATAACATGATATTCCATAAATATGTATAAATTTTTGTGCTCATTAACAAAAAATTTTTTCAAATTATTACAGAGAAAGAAGGAAGGAGAGGGATGGAGAAGCACATGGGAAGAGTGGAGAAGGGAGAATCAGGAGGAGGGGAAAGGAAAGTGATGGAGGAGGGCAGGGTGGAAGGAATTAAAGAAGGCAAGCAAAGCCAAATATTAAGATTAAAAACAAATGGTGAACAAGAAAATATTGTTACCAGCTTTGTGCAGACAAAATGGAAATATATAAATTCATGCAAATAGAGATAAAATATTAAAATGCACATCTTTTTCAACATTCATTGATTCATTAATTCATTTATTAATTTTATTAAATTATACAATTTGTATTACCCTATGCCAAAAATTGGAGGAGAGTAAAAAAGACATTTTTATTTCAAACGAGATACTGTCACTGAGAATGATATTACATTTCCTTTTTAAAAGATTTATTTTATTTACTTGAAAGGTAGAGTTACAGAGAAAAGGAGAGAAAGAGAGATCTTTCACCCACTAGTTCACTACTCAAATGATTGTAATGACTGGGCCTGGGTCACTCTGAAGCCAGGAGATTCATCTGAGGCTTCCAGGTGGATACAAGGGCCCAAGGACTTTGGCCATCTTCTGCTGCTATCCTAGGTGCATTTCAGGGAGCTGAATCAAAAGAGAAGCAGTCAAAGCTCAAACCAGTGCCACTATAAAGCAGCAGTTTTACCTGCTAAGCCACAATGCTGCCCCTTTTGATATCTTTAAAATCATCTTCACTATATTTTCAATATCAGGTAAACAATTGATTGTTTTAAATTAAAGTGTCACTACACTGATTGTTGCTTGCAAAAAGTAAAAGAAAAAATTTTCTCAATAAAGATAGGATCATTCAGAACCTCAAATTATGTCTGCATTTTTTTCATGCAAAGTATCTAGCATACAACTTAGATTTAATAGACATGCTAGGAAGAAAGATATATGAAACAGAATGACTGGGCAGAGCCAAGATGGCGGAATAGTGAGGGTGCACACCGATAGTCCGGGAAAATTTAGTTTAATAAAAGTGGAGTTAGGGTAGCCTCAGAAAAAGGATCAGGAAAAAATTGCAGAGGAAACTCTTCCAGAGCTATTCGCTGTGACCCAAAGGACCTACTGGGAGAGCAGGGTTGCCCACCACATGGAAGCCGAACCACAGGAGCTGCAGAGTCTGAGCGCCAGTGCGGGAAGGGGAGTCTATGTGACAAAGACACCAGCGGGGAGAGGAGGGACGCTAAGGGCTCCGAGTCCACACATCGGCGCTGGAAGCAGAGGTGAGCTCAGTAACCGGAGACATTGGCGGGGAAATGGCAGACAGAATTTTAGAGGGACACGGGT